ATTTAATTAACATTTAATGAATTTAACTCGAATGATTTTCCCGCAGCGATCATCAAACATCTGAAGTAACAAACAACAGTTCATGTGCTCTTCTCCTGTTTGTGTTGAAAATGTCATAACGAGCTGTGATTCCAGAGTTTCTTCTGATTGTTTCTCAGCTTCAAATGTTTCTAATCTTCTCTCTCTCTCTCTCTCTCTCTCTCTTCAGGGCCCTCGCTCACACCAAATTCACAAAGTAAGTAGTTCAGATGTCACAAACTGCTCTTCGGACTTTTCCAGGTTTGAAAACGATATGACGTTCGTGTCTCTGTGTTCTAACAGGGAACTGAAATATGTCATTCAGAGGTTTGCGGAGGACCCGAGGCAGGAGGTGAGTGTGTGTTAGTGTGTGTTAGTGTGTGTTAGTGTGTGTTCACCCTTGTTTCAACCAAGGACCATTAATAAAAATGGACGTAGACTTCAGGTCCTGAAAGTGAAGCCACTGCAGAAGTGTGTGAAAACTGTATTATCCAGAATGACCAGCGGGGGGCGACTCGACTGGTAGTTTCTATAGAAGTCTATAGAAAATGGTTCTTCTCACTTTATAACATCAGGAAACTTTTTGTCTCAGTCTCTAGTTTCATGTTCATTAATCATTAACATCATTAAAGTCAAACAGACCAGAAGGCACTGGATATATTGGGGGCGGGGCTCATTTGGGGGGCGTGAGGTGTCCTGGAGCTGTCATTCAGGCTCCACCCAATGCTCCTCCAAATATGGTTACGTCTGGTTTCAGAAAAACAAGATGGCGCCGGACAAAGTGTCAAACTGAGGCTTTAGAACAGCAGCTGACAAACAAACAGGCGACGTCACAACGCGCTGGTTCTTTTCATTAGTTTTATTAGAAGAGGTTTCTTGAGATTGATAAGACAGAAGTATCTCCTCGGAGCTAACTGACAGATTATTGTGTGTTTCCAGGTTCACTCCTGTCTGCTGAGCGTGCGTTCAGGTAAAGATGGCTGGTTCCAGCTCTACAGTCCAGGAGGCGTGGCCTGTGATGACGATGGGGAGCTGTTTGCCAGTATGGTGAGTGCACGGACACACACACACACACACACACACACGTTAACCTGAGCCATGTGCTAACTGACGCCTGCTTGTGATTGGTCCTCTCCGTCAGGTTCACATCTTGATGGGCTCCTGCTACAAGACCAAGAAGTTCCTCTTGTCTCTGGCTGAGAACAAGCTGGGTCCCTGCATGCTGCTGGCCCTGAGAGGAAACCAGACCATGGTGGAGGTTCGTCCACGTCCCGGGTTCTGTTACATGTCCTCCAGGGTCCCTTTGTCACTTCCTTTAACATTGTGTGTGTCTGTCTGTGTGTGTTTGTGCGTGTGCACAGATCCTGTGTCTGATGCTGGAGTACAACATCATCGACAACAAAGACACACAGCTTCAGATCATCTCCACCCTGGAGAGCACGCAGGTCGGCCTCCGCATGTACGAGCAGCTCTGTGACCGCCAACGAGAACTGAAGGAGCTGGTAACTACACACACACACACACACACACACACACACACACACAAACATAGCCTTAACTTAACCTCATCTTTACCTGGAACCCTTGACCTAAACTAACCCTCACCTTAACTTAACCTAAGTATAAATTAAACCTGAATATAGGATGAATTAAATTCATTAAATTAAATAGATGAATTGTAAGAAAGTAAAGTTTGACGTGTCTGTGGATTCTTCTTTGATCGTCCTGTCACAGTGAACGATCATCAGGTCTGAATTATTTTACAAAATAAAAAACGAGGTGTTTTATTTGTGCAAGCTCACGTGTCACTTCCTGAGTTCAGCCTGTCTGCTGCTGCTGCTGCTCACAGACGCCACCTACTGTCTGACAATGTTCCTGCGAGGCCTTCAGCTCAGCCTCCATCTTTTTGTGTGTCCTCTCCTCAGCAAAGAAAAGGAGGCCCCACCCGCCTGACGCTGCCGTCCAAGTCCACGGTGAGACGATGCCTTCACTGCCTCACACAGCACGACCTTTAACCTTCTGTGTTTCTGAGCCACATCACGTTTGAGATGATACAACAACAACAACAACGCTCAATGTTTTTTTTTAACGCACCACAGGATGCCGACCTGGCCCGCCTGTTGAGTTCAGGTTCCTTTGGGAATTTGGAGAACCTGAGCTTGGCCTTCACCAACGTCACCAGTGCCTGTGCCGAGCAGCTCATCAAGCTGCCTTCACTCAAACAGCTCAACCTCTGGTCCACACAGGTACAAACACACACACACACACACACACACACACAAATGAACAGTGATCTAACAGATGCAGGATGACTTTCTTTTTCTCTGTCCTTCAGTTCGGGGACGCAGGGTTGAGGTTGCTGTCCGAGCATCTGGCCTGTCTTCAGGTTCTGAACCTGTGTGAGACTCCGGTCACCGATGCCGGTCTGCTGGCTCTCAGCTGTAAGAAAACAATCGTGGTTTTTATTTTCTGAAAAACAATTAACAGTAATTAATTGCGAGTGTTTGTGTTTCAGCCATGAAGAGTCTGTGCAGCCTGAACATGAACAGCACCAAACTCACAGCCGACACATACGAGGACCTCAAGGTAAAACGGCAACATGAGTCCAACACATGATTTCCTATTAATTACCTAAAGAGAATTGTCCGGATGGTTTACATGTAAGACAACTGTGTGAATTCTAATTCATGAATTCTAATATATTTAGGAGTTTAAATCTCCTGCCGTGTTCTCACATGGACTCAGTCGGACATTGTCCAGAGTTGTCACTGTGTCTATTTTTAGTAGAAAACTAAAGATAAACCACAGTTTTGATCTTTTGATTCTTTGTGTTTGATCTGAGGAGCTGATGCAGTTTCTGTTTCTGTCTTCAGGCCAAACTGCCCAACTTGAAAGACGTTGACGTTCGGTACACTGAGGCCTGGTGATCAGCCACACACACACACACACACATGCACACACTCAAACACTCAAACATATGCACACACACACACACACAAACACACATTGCACACAGGCTCAGATACATAACATGAAACTTTGTGCGGCGACATCATCGCCCGCCGTCACCCATGAGTGAGGATCATGTGATGTGAGCAGAAACTGACGAACAGAGGAGGAGCCTTCGTCAGCCTCGGACGCCATCACTGGGAAGGAACTGCCTTGCTTTTTTTTTTTCTGAGTGAAAAATCCTTATGGACCTCATCGCTCCCCGTACGTCTGTCCCCACTGTTCGAGGACCTTGTTGTAACTGATCAGAGGACGTATCCTGTGGCTGATTGAGACCCTCCTCTCTCTCCTTCTGCCTTTATCCTTCCTCCTCTTTCATATGTTTCTGGCTTCAGTCCATCATCCCCCCCCCCCCCCCCCCCCCCCCCCCCCCCCCAACCTTCATGTGAGGAAATCCCTGAATCGACCCCCGCCGCCATCAGCCTTCCACTTTCTCTCCTGCCCTCATGTGGTGAAGGCTGGATACAGCAGGCCGCATTCCCTTTGGTCTCCCGTCCCATCCGCAACGAGCTGTAGCTCTCCGAGCAGACGCGGCGGTGACCCGTCACCTCGGTCCTCGCTCCTCTGCTCTTTGGCTTCAATTCTTCGAGTCCGATTCCAGCTTTCTTCAAGTCGTTCATTGGGAAAACAAGGTGCTACCTCCCAGAAAAGAAGAGTTGCAAGACTGTGCCTATTCCTCAAACACAACACATTCACACACGATAAGGAAAAAAAAACAGAAAAAAAAAAGTTTTTATCAACTTGAATGAACATATTTTTCCAGACATCTGTGCTTTCATATATTGTGTGTTTCTATATAAAACATGAAGACAACCCCTGACATTTCAGAAACGTTTCTGGAGGAAAGTGAAACAGCGATGTTCCTTTTCCATTTGTTTTCAGTGTAAATACTGATGATCTCCCATTGCTATTTAATAGGACCGTTGTTGTAGCAGTAGCTGGGTGGTCTGGGACTGCCTGATAAGTTGTGTCTTTAAAACCTCCTTTATTCTGTCTCTCTGGGTTTGTCCTGACTAATGAAGTACACAGGCCCTGTTGTTTTGCATCATATAACACGAGAAGCCAGAGAGGGCGCCCGCACACGGATCTCTCTGTACCGTCGGTAACGCTGACGTGTACACCGGACTCTAACATGGGCCCATCACCAGCTGAGAGTTGTATATTTTCATATCCTCTGCTTTTCTTTCTCTTTTGTACAGACGTTTTTTTGAAAAGAAGAAAGGACACTTGCCAAACATCTTCATCCAGTTTAGCTTTTTGTGTTTTGTGCACTTGCTTCATCCGGCCAACGTGAGCGCGGTTTTAGTTCAGACCGGTCTGAGTGGAAACGGTTGTAACTTGCCCGTAGACTGTGAACAAAGATGGACGACGCGTCCCAGCTTCCGCCCACTATCCAGAAATGAAGCCAAAATATCCCAGAAACGAACGCTGCCATCTGGCGTGGATGATTTGGAGCCGTGATATTGAAGTCCCGCCCACCAATCATTTTGTCTCAGTCTGTTTTTATATCATCAAATAACTGATTCAAACCACACCGATCAGAAACATGAACAAACATCAGTGTGATAAGAACCATCTTCTTTTATTTTACATGTATTTTTACCTTTTGTGTGGTTGAGGTCCCATCTGCTAACATGGAGGAGGCGTTGTTTTGTTATTCGTTTTGTTATTGTATGATTAAAAGCAATTGCGCCAGAGTTAGCTAGCAGCTAATTTGCATCCCTTGGCTTTGTGACCTATATGGCAGCCAGCCACCAGGGGGCGATCAAATTGTTTCGGCTTCACTTAAAGGGAACGCTCATGTTGTCCATCGTTATTTTACAGACCCCCCCGCCCCGCTGAGGTCGCCACAGCGCCCCTAGTGGTCGCCTCTTTCTTATCTTTTGTCGGACCTCCTTTTTTAACTTGTTCTGCTGTAAGAATTTTACACCGTAATACATGGGCGACATTTTTAGTCCGTGTGGATAAAGAATTCCCGCGAGAGGACGAGACGAAATTATTTTACACGTCACAATCAGGGACAAAAATTTAAAAAAAAAAAAAAAAGAGATGTCAACTCTCGGACGAATCTGCCCAAAATCATTCCCTCTACATTTTGCCTGTTTGTTGTGGTAACCAAACCTGCACCTACGTCACAGGCTCCTCCTCCTTTGGGATGATGTGAGAAAACACACACGACGTATTGTTTCAGTCGCTCTGACTGCGTCCATCCTTTTAATTTATTTGTGTCGACCTCCAGATGCTCCAGATGTTGGTTGAGGACAGGATGCCGTCCATGATGATGACATGCTTTGTTTCCTATTTATTGAGTGCCATGAAAATTTTCTGTTCGGTCTGTGTGCGGCCATCTTTGGGTCTAACCTCTGGACCTCGCTTCATATCCTGTATGATGTATATACGAGTGTATATAGTCGTCTCCTCCTTTCCTCTCTCTCAACCAGGTTTGAATCCTTTCGTCCCTTCTCTCTGTTGTTTCTCGGCCTCCCTCCGTCGGCAGGCTGCTGTTGCCTTCATCTTCATGTGTGTGGTTGTTTTGTTTTTTTTCACACAAAGTGCACTGTAATCTAAAAAAATCTGTTTTCAATGCATAATATCTTTTAAGTTTCTGACGTCTTTGATTCATTGACTTTAATCAAACATTTGTTTCCTGTGTTTTTGTTGTTTAGTTTTTATTTTGCATGTACATGTTGCATCATCTGGTATTTTTATTTTGTAATTTTGTTTTATAAAAGGTTTGAACTATAATAAAGGGTCTGATCACTAACTCACTGAGGTTAAGGACTGAAATGGAGAGACGCCATCAAACTGTTTTCTGATTGGTTGTTGCCAGGATCTGCCCATGAGGCTCCGGGAAGTCGAGGTTTGATCGATACTGATTTTTTAAAAAGCCAATACCAATACTGGTACTTTTTGACTGAAGCTGCCTCTTGCTGAGATTTCAGAATTAAGCTTGAGCATTTTCATATTAATAAAAAATGTCTCTCGTTTACCCAAGAATTGAGTTTGAATCCTGCCAGATAATCATATCGGAGTGTAACGTGCTGAATGGCCATTGTCTTTTTTTTAAATAAAGTTGTTGTAAGACATGCGGAAGGTGACAGTTCAGTTTAACTTCCTGTTTTATACCTGATGTTTTTAAAGTCTGAAGGTTTTGAAGGAATGATTCAACATTTTGGGAAACTGCTCGTGGCTTTTTTGACGATTTCGTTGAGAAGACGACGTCACATCATGAAGCTGCAGCCGCTCGGGACCTAAAGCTTCATTTAGCACCAGAAACAATAAGTGGAAAAATATCCTGACTGGCTGATTTTGTTTGCTAGTTATTCACTGTTTGCTCATTTTGTTGGCTGCAAACTTAAATGAGGAATCGCACGTTGAAGTTTCCCAAAATGTCAAAGTCTTCCTTCAGGCACGGTGGCAGTCTGGAGTCAGTCCCGAGGTCGTCCCTCACTCGGCTGCCACTTGTCCAGACTGAGCCTGGGGACCAGCATGTTGAGGTTGTGATGGTATAAAGTTTGTTCGTATTTTTATTACTGTCGAACATCTGATGTAGAAACACATCCTCTGTTCTGTCGCGTCTCCGTATCCTGTGGAGCTCATCCTGCTTTTTGCCTTTTCCTTTCTCTGATGCTTTTTTGTTTCCACTCGATTCAAAGTGTAAAGAGATTCGTCCACGTCGTTGCAGCTGTGCTCAAGTCTTAACAGTTGTTCTGGAAGAAACCGGTCAGATGTGGCACAGACTGAAAAACTGTATTTCCCATGATTCCTTGTAGTAAAAGGTTTTTTTGGCAGCTGGAAAAGGAGCCCCCCCCCCCCTCATGTTTTCTTTTTCTCAGTCTTTCTCCACATGGATCTGCTTCTCCTGCTGGGTTATTATTATTACTATGATTCTTATTTTGCTGCTGCTCTGTGGCTGTTGTAATAAAACTACAAAAAGATCTTCAACAGGAAAAATGACAACTATGATGTTAAATAATTTCAATCAAAATTAAATTGTCTGTGAATATGTTTCAGTTTTGTGTGTCGTGTGGCTTTATTTCATATATTTATAATAATATAACTATATTTTTACACCTTAATTCACTATATTTTTATGCCCTAATTTACTTTATTTTTAAATCTAAATTAACTTTTATTTTACGCCTTGATAAACTATGTTTTTACACGTTAATTGACTATACTTTTGAGCCTTAGTTAAATATACTTTTACTGCTTAATAATGATGTTTATGCTTGTGATTAGAGTTAGGGGAAGCAGGTCAGCGGTAGAGCAGGTCGTCCAATAACCAGAAGGTTGGCAGTTCACTCACCACAACCGAGGTGCCCTTGAGCAAGGCACCACCCCCCCAACATCTTCTCCCCAGGCACTTGCAACAGCAGCCCACTGCAATTTTTGGGTTGTGATTGGGGTTAGGGATGAAAACCCATTGGAGATCAAGATATTCTTCAATAACTTTTTTTCTGAAGGTCATAGAGACTTGGAAGTTGGTTGCATCTCCACTAATGTGGCTATGCCAGATCCATTGGGACCATCCCCGAGCTTCTACGACCTTCGGAAATGGTGAAACCACCAAATCT